AGCAGTCGTGGAAATGTTTTATGGAAGGAAAAACCACTCGGCATTTCCAATACAGACCTAAGCCATAATTTAGAGGGTGCCCTAATAAATCCAGCGCAATATTATCGCGTTAAAATATAAAGAATATTTAAGATATTGACGTAAAATATTAAAAGGTATTAAATCTAGAAAATTGCCCTCGAAGATTCCTCGATAAAATACCAAATGTGATAAAATGGACATAACATACGGTCAAGGGCAGGTCAGCTTTTATAGCATTTTTTAGATACCTACGCTCAATAAAGTTTAATTTGTATTTATTGCTTGAGGTTAAAATAATGTTTAGTGTAAATAAAAAGGAAAGGTAAAGTTCTAAAAATCTTTGCTATACTATATAACGCAATCGAAACGTCACCGCAGTAAGCCCTCTGATTGGTTAATTAACTTGGAGCCGGCCAATGAGAGCGACGAACGTCATCAACATGGCGATTGCATAAACGTAAAGTAAACCAGGCCCAATTATAAATATTAGCAAAACCACCTCTTGGTTACTTATTTCGAGTTCATGTGTCTAGATATGTGATTGTAACGAATCAATTTGGTTGCACACATAATAAATCCGTTATTTAGAAGACTAGAATGACTTAGACTGCACAGTTGGTGCGGTGGCTGGGCAACTGGCTGCCGTGCACGTTGCATGGCAGCCAGTTGCCCGGGTCGCGGGTTCGATTCCCGCACGGAACAACACTTTGTGTGATCCACAAATTGTTGTTTCGGGTCTGGGTGTCATGTGTATGTGACATTGTATGTTTGTAAACGCACCCACAACACAGGAGAAAATCCTAAAGTGGGGCAACGTTTTTAAAAAAATAATAAAAAAATAAGAATATGAAGCATCATCAATACTGTTTGTAGAAAGTAAATATAACTCCATAGGAGTTTTCCCAAAAAAATCATCATGAACTACATGAATAGATTACCACTGAACCTAAAAAACTAAATTGAATTCATAGTAAGCAAAATCGTATAGCTTAGTAGTAGGGGAGCCCAGGATGCTAAATTTGTAGTTACTCAAGCGTCGTAGGGAGTAACTGGATTCTGAAGATTTGGTGATAGAAAGAAAAAATGTCTCAATGACATTTCATTCCTCCGGTGGGGGAAGGGGGAAATGATAGTTTTCCAAAATTTTAAGATGTAACTTTTGTTTTAGTGCACGAGCGTGACAGATATTAATATTGTATATTCTCCATGTATCTCTGACAGTGAAAATATTTTAATCTGCCGAATTGCGTGGTGGAGTTGGCTAACTAAGGGAATAGAAACGGGACCCGTTCAAAACTCTATTGTTGTTGTAAACGACGATGAAATCGGCAGATTTTTTAAACACCCTTTCTTTGACATGACATCTAACTTTCCCCCCTAATCTGACGAAAACGACTGTATTTAGTTATTTTTGTTGTAGTCCCCCCCGCTTCTCCTCTGTTTACATTAAGTATATGATGGGTATATTCAATAGGTTACTAAATATTCCCCATATGTTAATCTGACGCACTCGAGTAACTACCGAAATTCCTTCATGGGCTCCCCTACGCTGTCCTAGATTTTTAGACTTATTATGAAGACTAATTTGCATGACATGACACCGCTATAATAATTTTCTCGTTTCTTAAAAAACTTATTAATCGTTGCTAAGTTACTGACATCTGTGGTCGTCCTCTTATTAAATGCTGAGTCCACTTATTACATTTCTAACTTCTTAAGGATAGTCGTTTTATACAAAATATCAAAAAATACGGTCAATTTACAAGAGGGAAACAGAATAAGTAATAGTGACCTCTGCTATTTAGGCAAGAGAGTGTCAGACTGACTGAAAATCACCCCGTTACTTCTCCTGCTCCATGGTCTACTTCATCAAGCATCCAGCCGCAATTCTGGCTTGCCATTTATTTCGTTTTCCAAACAATCCTTTTTTGCAGTAATAAATAAAAAAAAATTCCTAAACAGACACGTTTTGTTAATAAATTTGACATTTACGGAACTGAAAGTGCATAGAATAAATTATATTGTGCATTCGTGTTAACATATTCAACGTTGAAAATCAGACATCAGACATGTTTATGATAAATAAATGTGACATGTAGATGGTCTATTATCATAATTTTATCATTGAAAAATAAGATTTTTTTTTTAAATAAATGGTTTTAAATTTGTACCTACTGCGCTTAGATAAAGATCAAGTATTTGCGTCAAGGTTCTAATAATTCTAATTGATTTGGTGCCTTATATGTATAGTGTTCATTTTAGATATGGTCAATAACACTTCCCGTTCTATTTATACAATGTCAATTAAGTATCTTTTAAGATATTTGCATTATTGTATTTAAAAAATGTAAGGACACTCGCGGAAAGTAGTTTATCTCTAATATTTTTCGTAATATTCAAACTGTAAACCTGATATACCTAAACACGATACTTGTGTTCTTCTGTTATAGCACTGCTAAATAAGTAATAATTATCTTCTCATGTTGCATTTTTATCATGCAGGAAGCATTGCTTTGAAATCTTTACCATATCTAGCCATGTTGAAATAAGGTTTTTTGAGCAAGCATAACATCACCTGTGTTCTCTTGCATAAGGCAGGCGAGAGGAAGTATAAGACTATTACTGACTAAAAGCTACCCCATTCCTTCTCCGGTTCCAGGCCGGGGCTCTATTTGCGATGGTCTTTTGGCTTCACGCGCGTAACGCTTCGCAATGTAAGCTCGGGAAGTAAGTTTTTAACGCAGTTTTAAGTCCCTAATTTGATTAACCACCAAAAATTATGAATTCTTATTTATTTCAACGAAAACGCAATTTTTTGTACCAAACAATTTTACCTCTACATACTGCATTTCGAAAATTACTATCAATTTGACGTCTACGTGCATTTGACCTTTGTTTATGTGATGTGATAGACATTTGGACGAAAGCCAAATACGCAATCTAATTGATTGTCAAACGTTTCATTAAACAAATAGGTATTACACACACCTCTTACCAATTACCCCGTCTAATCACCATTAGCGAACATTTTGGAACAGTTCATGTTTAGATGACCTAATCCATTAGTCTGGCGTGGCTCATTCAATCCTGTTCCATAGACAAACAATAAATAAACACAAATGATGTGTCTACAGTCAGGTGGGATAACTCTTGTGTGCATGCCAACTTGCACCGTAAACTTCACAAAATATGGATCTATTTTGCTACAATTATGCAGAGTATCTGCACATGCTCTTAAAACGCTAAATGAGTGAAATCCAACATCATTATACATAATATCGAAATAAGATTTTGTTATTATATTAAATCGGGAAAATCATCAAATGATCCTGCCCAGGGTCGGGGCGGAGGGAGCGTCAGGAGCTATTACTGACTAAAAACCCCCCTGTTCCTTTTCCTGCTCTGGGCCGAGGTCGTGGTGCCTCAAAGTAGTGGTATTGCTAAGATGTTATTTACCGATCATTAAAATTGTAGCATCATTTTCATACTAATTTAAATATCGATAAGCATAAAAATACTTCTTGTTACAAACAAAAATATAATTCCAAAATACCTACTTGAAATAACAAAGCGACTGTGCATGGAAATAAAAAGCAAACAAAGGAAGCTATTTGGGGAATGAATGGCAGTCAAATTATTTTTAAACAGTACGTCAAAAAGCGAATTGGCTTGATATCAATCATAACGGACAATAATATAATTATGATATTTTCCTGTTTATGAAAACCTTTAAACATTTTTTTTGTATGATATGACGGCAAACCAGCTGACGGATTACCTGATGGTAAGCAATCAGCGCTGCCCATGGACAGTCGCAACAGAGGAGTTACGAATTCGTCATCGACCTTTTGGGGAAAGGAGATTTGGAGATTTAGAATATGGAGATTTAGAATACAACGCTGTGGTTGTTTTACGCCGGTTTTCTGTAAGACGTGGTATCACTTCGGTCGAGCCGACATGCTTTGGCACGAATCTCCCGCACTTAAAACATGCACTTTTTTGTTCAATTATATATTTAAATATCTGAGCTTTGCTCTTTTAGTAACATTATTATAGATATTAAGTACCTAAGGTCTTTCTTTTTAGATTGTCCAAAGTTCATTAACATGTATATATTTAAAACAAAGTACGACTTGTTCTAGCTGTGTCGCGTCGCGGTCGCTAATTTGAATCACAAATCAATGTGGTATTGGGTTTTCAATTTAATCATTGATAGTGTTATTCTGTGGTCTAGGGCCCTACTCAGTTTAAAGTAGTAAAAGATGTCGTTTGGACTTTAAAACAAACGGTACAACGTTTTTTTTACCAAGAAATAAGATCGTAAATGCGGAATGCTGTCGGGTCCATAGTCCAAAAATAATTTATTATTATATCCACCTGACTCAAATGACTAACGTTAAGAACTGTTTCTTATAATAAAGTTCAAGGACCCTACAGAAATCTGATTAAAACGATAACATGAATATAAGATTATTAAAATCACACCACACACATATATGTAGTTATGTGACAAGTGATTTTAATATTTCGTACGAATCGTTTCAACTTGATATTTATTTATACCATTATTTAAGCAACAACCTGTGGGTAATTAAAACGGTGACATTGAAGCTTTGACCCGTGCATTGAATTAATTGAAGGTGGTCCTCGTTTTTTTATTCTATTTGTAATATTAATAAGGCTGTCTAAATAATTTGATAAGAAATGTGAAATAAATCATCTAAAATCAACATTTTGGCGTACGCTCTAATACAAATGTACGCATTTTTTATATGTAAATTAGATGTCGTATTGATAAGATCGTTATCACATTCAGTAACAACATAATCGATAATATAATTGTTTGATTTGTGTCAGATAACATGCGGTTATTTGTATATTGTTAAGATAAGATGTATAATGATAATGAATGGTAGTAAAGCGTTAGTTACCATCGCCCATTGTTCCCATTTAGTATTTGTTTGTGGGCCTGACCTCACCTGCGCTCGGGGTGGCGCATCATACAGTTGTGTGGTGGCTGTGGAGAGCCTGCGCAGGCGCCGGGGGCCACGCACACTGGCGCACGCGCCGGCCCCGCCAGCGCGCAGCCGCTGTGACGCTAGCAGTGCGCTGTATGTCCTCCCCATGCGAGGCCCTCCACGACCGCACCACGTCGCCAATGTAACCTGCAACAACATATACCTATTAGTTGGAAAATAAAGACTTCTTTTAATTATCTACGTATACATGAGCATAACTAGCGCGTTTATCACAATTATAAACATCTTGGATTATTTCCTCAATGTTTGTTATTTAGTCAAACTAAATCTTTCATGTTTTATAAATAAGACTCTAAGTAAAGTAAGCACTAACAAATCGTATTGGTGAAATAGATATCATAATTAGATAGTCGATTTTCTTTAAAATCATTCGTGACTTTTGCGTCTTTTGGAAATACATTCAGCGTGTTCCAAGACATCTTCATCATAATGACGATGTCACTGATTGTAACTTTTTTTTATTTCATTTTACCGACAGCTTTACAACACCTTGGTTTCGTTATTTGTGTTATCTAAAATTTGTTGAACCGAGTCTGGCTGTAATGTATGTAGGTAATTATGTTTTTAACCATACCCATGACGCAGAAGATAAAACCTAGCGTGGGGCAACGATAAAAAATGACCAAAATAGGTAATACGTTAATTAAATACAATTAGTTAGTATAAGTACGATTAGATTTCCAGAACACATAAGTACCTACATTACCCACACAGTCGAATTAATTTTGGAAACTCATGATGATTTATTTATTATTAATGATGTTGAATTATTCATTATCTACTGCGTAATTTATTTTGTTAATGTAAAAGTCGGTATCATTTCCAGCGAAGACAAAATTGGAGTTTTGTGAATTTAATTGACGTGTATACGCTTTGTAGCACTGTCATTTTACCTCTTTCGTGTCGTAATACCAACTCCATATGCACAGATATTCGTAAAAGATTTTTAAAATACCGCCACCATTTTGAAGCTACAATCGTGAAATACTTTTAATTAAACTCTCGACGTAAAGTTGAATATTTCCAACAGAATGCACATACACGGAAAACTGACGCGTATTCTTTTTCACATACAAAACATTTTGTGTAACTGTAATGAAAAACAAAACTCATATGTTTACAGGAAAAAGAAGGTTTTTCTGTCTATCCACATTCGTCTTAAGTCAACTTTTAGGTATGTACATATCTATGGCTATGTTTATCGTCGTGGACTACTAACCTATTAATTCTTATAGGAAATCGAAACAAAACAACTTTCATTTCTCTTGCTATCTCTTTTTGATACGTAGGTACATAACTTAGAAATGTTTAGTCGTCCTTGTTACTAGTTTGACGAAAGTTAGTGGGGGTCGATTTACATAAAATATTGTGAGCATTTGCGACCTCTGACCGGAGCGACGCCGACGGCTCCAGAACTCCATTACACCCTCACATTTCCAGTCCAAGGCATCCAAAGAATTAAATTAGATCAAGATAAAAATACCAAGCTACGTCGGAATTTTTAATGACACTTTTACTTACGTAATGACGTCATTTCATTAAAGTTTTATCTCAAACTTTAACTGAATGTTTAATTATATTTTAACATATATTTGTGTTAACCAATGCATTGGTTAGTTTAGTCTAATTTGTAGGTCATGAACAACTAGTCTAGATAGTTTTATTATCTGGATAAGGAATCTTTTTTTAATAAACAAACGAACTGAGTCCTAATTTTAGTAATTACACATAAATGTTTTATTGCCTATAATACAAATTCTTGGCAAACGCAATAATATTTCTTAATCTCTTAACCAGTTCCAATAATCTTAAGCTTTAATATTTTAATACAAATCTACTCAGTTCTTTTTAATGGAGACAATAAAAACACCTGATATTGGTTCGCATTTATGACAGTTTATGACTACATCAAATTTATATGCCGGCTACCTTTTTATTTTTGTTACACGTGGTTTGTTAATCCGGTATTCATAATAAACACAGACGCGGTCAGAAAAAAACATTGAAAATAAAAGAAAATCTACTATAACGTTCACTATTTATCAATCTTTAAAGAATAAACAAACAATGCTTGTCTTATTCAACAAGAAGAAAATATATTTTACCTAAATAAAAACCACAACACAGATTTAGTCACTCCCTACACGCTAGGAATAACAGACAGGCGACAAAATGTTGTTTAGACACAATTTGTAACTCAATTCAGTCACTTTGATAGCTTTATCAAAATTCCCGGGGCCGGAGAGAATCACAGTTCTTAATAATACAGTGTAAACAAACACGTCAAAGCTTTCGTTTGTTATTTTTAAAACGAAAATGTTACTAAACATACTATAAATATACAGTTTACGTAAAGATTTTGCGACAAATTTTAAATAAAGAACATTGGCAAGATCAAAGGGTAATACGGTTTTACAAAATTTGTAAGTCTGTTGTGAATGGTTACTCGATCAGTGTAATTTTGAGTCGATAAAAATACATGAAGATCGAACTATGTTCAGGCTAAATAAACGATTAAAATTATAATATTGAAACTCCTTTCTGGTTTATTTTAGTCAGTTTGTAGTAATATCAGATTCCTTACCAATGCAATAAGCAAATACTTATCATCGTTAGCATTAGCTTTTAGTGCCCACTGCTGAGCAAAGGCCTCTTTACACACAGAAAAAGTTTGAGCATTAACCACCACGCTCAAGGCGGATCAGCGATTTCAGACAACCAGGTTTCCTTATGTTTTTCCTTCACGGTTGTACGAACAAATGCAATTGTGCCTATAAATTAAAAATGTAGGATTTGAATTTGTATATTTGATAAAAGTTATCTGGGGAATAATTATGATGCTGTCGCGTCAGAATGTTTGTATAAGACAGTGACAGCAACAATTTTAGTCCTCAGAAAACATTTACCTAACTATTGAAAAATCCGTCTAAATAGTTTTTAGACGTACGATTATATGACCAAAATGGTCAAATCTTAAAAAGTGTACGGTTTTTGATACCTATTTACGAAGATTCCTTATAATATTTGTTTTGATACAATACTTAATCAGAAATAATAACAAATGTTCTCAATAAACTATACGGCCACTTCTCAGTATTCGCTATCCCCATGCCTTGAAATTAATAAACACATAGAACCATCATAAAAAAAGAAGTTTGACAGGTCTATGTTAATCTTCGGTTAGACTAACTGTTATTCGAACGAAATATTTCTTGTACGAGAAAAAGAAACATCATCTAGTCACGTTTTATTAAAACTGAGATACAGTATTACTGTGTTAGCCTTTTAAGTATTTAAGATGATGCACATGTCGAAATCAGGAAGTCTGCGTTGAAATTAATCGTAGGAAAAATAAAATAAAAAAATTACGCATAAATATAAAAAACATGTTTTTAACTGAATTTTTTTAGAATAGTTGTAGAAAACGAAACTTTAAATATGTTTTTGTATAAAAAAAAACTGTATTTCCTTTATTCCTAAATACATTCATAAAACAAATGCGTCGTGCCTACTCTTAACATTTTATCCCGTATTGTTAGAGCAACAACGACGAAACAATAATTTGTGAATACAACAAAGTAACGTGTGTAGCTTTAGAACTTGACTGTATATGAGATCTAATGAGTTTTTGATCTGTTTTTTGTGGGAGTTACTTTATATTTAATATTGGTTTACGATTAACAATCTCAAACTTGAAATAAATACACATTCCTTGAGTTACGATCAACAACAACACCTACATATATTATGTTGCAACTGCAGTTTGAATTTGGTAATACAAATAGGTCGTAAACTTAATCAAATAGGACATCTAAATTACTACCATGTATATATAATTGATTTGTTCAAATCTCGAGGCCAACAATGTTATAAGTTCAAAAGTCAATTAAAACACATTACACAATTATTATTATTATAAGCGTAAAACTATGCGATATATAAGGTTAAAGAAAATCTTAATGTTTCATCTACGGGTGACATGATTAAAATGTAATAAGAAATTAAACGATAAATTGGAGGATGATTTAGTAAAACTAGTTTTAAATTCCAATTGTTTAGATAACGAAATGGATGTATGCCAAAAGTTAACTTTATTACAATTTTACTAATATTATAAATGCGAAAGTTACACTGTTCGGATGTTTGTAACTAAATCACGCCAAAACGTCTGGACGCAAATTTGGCACAGGCATAGGATACATTCCGGAAGAGGACATAGGCTACTTTTTATCAACATACCACGCGGGAGAGGCCGCAGGCAGAAGCTAATTACAAGCTAATTACATAGGTATATATAAATAATGGCCAGATGTCGACATTACTTTTGGAGACACTACGCGTTATTAAAAAAATATTTAAGGATTATTGCAATCTACGTTAAAGTAAGAAAAAGAAAAAAAAACAATGTGCTGCGTACATCGAATATTAATTAATTTTCCAGAATAAGGTAGTTTTCTCTGAAACTACATACCATAATAAAATTCACAGAAACCAATAATTTGATATTTCGAATGAGTTAATTATCGAAATCAGTCAAAGAACAAACAGAAGGCTGGCAGGTATAAAATTACTGCCTGTTATGTTAAACAATAGGTACATCGCTCCACCGGCTTGGTAGCAAACCCATATTTGTATAATTGACAGTTGAATACCGGAACTAATGGGCTGGAGAGTCTGTGTAAAGAAAATAAACTAACATAATAGGTTGTTTTTTTGTAAGGGTAAAATCATCAAATGGCTTATCCCGCCCAGGGTCGGGCGGGAGAGAGTTTCAGACTCTTACTGACTAAAAAACCCCCCGTTCCTTCTCCTGCTCTGGGCCGACGTCGTGGTTCCTCATTGCGCTTACCCCGCAACCTCATCTGAACATCAGCCCTATAGGGCACCGTCTGTAGTGGTCTATTGAGAGTACTGAAAGAGACTCGTGAAGAAAACACATCATACCTTACTAGGTATACCAACGAGCCGAACGAACGAACCAAGAAACGAACAAAAGAGTACCTATCTATTTTTATATTCTTTATTTAATGTCCCGTATAGTAATATTTGGATAGGTATGTATGTCTTGTATGTATGTACTATAAATAAATTTGAATATAGAACGTATTTCTTATGAACTATTTGTC